AAGAAAATGAAATTTATTAAATTTAAGATTTTTTTTCTCATTTATAATTACTAATTCACAATTGATCGTTACATTTTTTTATACGCTTAATAACTACGATCAAGCCACAGGCTTGAAAATGTTGCAGTTATTATATGTAATATTTTTAAAAATTAATTTGTAAATTCCCTAAATATTTTCTAAACTATGATTCACATCTCTATTTCCATAAGCTTATAAATCAGAAGTATGTAAACCAAGGTTTATTGATGGCTTATTGAGTATCTAAACACTTTTTTTAGCAATGAAATAAAGTTTCATTTTTCGTGTGTTAAGATTTTAATATAAATATTTTTACTTAAGACATTATATAAGTAATTTTTTTTAAAAAAAATAAGACTAACGATAATTATAAATTTTTTAGAAACGCAAATTCAATTTTCATGAAATTTAAAATTTTTCTTTTCATGCAAATGACGATGTAACCAAAAGCAAATTAGCACACTATTCTATCAAACCTTTATAAACGTAAAGCAACCTCTATGTCCACTATGGTAATTTACTATTTTTCAGATATAGATCTATGAACGGTAATTACTAAATTCTTAAACAAACAAACAGAAATAGGTTGTAAAAAGAGAACCCCGACGTGCGGTGCATTAATAGAAACTGCTCTAGAAGTCTTAGAAGTAGTATTTGAAGTAAGTTCATCAATGATCTTAATATCAGCATATTGGTACCACATCGTATTGATTGGAGAAATATCATTGCCGTGAATAAAATATGTTTGAAGAATACCTTGAGTGCCACCAGTTGCACCGGCCTTGGTTTGATCAACAAAGGTCGTCAAATTCTCATCAAATTGATTAGTGACATTATAGAGCCTTGGCTCTTTATTGTTTGCAACGAAAATAAAAATAATTAAAGGAACTATAAATCCAAGTAATGCGGTAAAATCATATATTCATCTGCCACGGGTTGAACTTAGCGCCGCCAACGGTACGTGTGGAATACAAATAATACTATGTCTATAGAATAATCCTTTACTGTTATAATAAATATTTATTAGACTATTATAATAGATTAAATATTTATTAGAGATGAAAAAAACCACCAATATTGCAAGGATATTAATTCGTATATTTACTAGAATAAAAGGAAATGGAGGTCTGATTAACTGTAGTAAAATTGTTTCCACATGGAGCACCAAGTGTCACCTCTAAGTCGAGGCGATAAAAGCTTATGATGTACAGTACATTTACAAAGTTAAATAAAATCGCAAAGAAGATTCCAAGACATGGATATTCAAATTAAATGTTTCCAAAAATCCGTAAGTGTTATTCAGCTGGTGATTATTCATGTTTTTAATAATACTCTACTAGCATATTTGGTGACACCAGAATTTCTTTATTTTATTTATTTATTTATTTATTTATTTGCATACAGGAAGTGTAAGTACAATAAGTGCACTATGTGGTTGGTAACAAGCGATTTAGTAATTATTAAAGGTTAAATGACGTAGCACATCAAAGATTAGGTTTCGATAATCGTGAGATGAATATTTCACAAATTTCCAAAAATGATTTGAATTTCTGAAAATTAACGTTTGATTAATATTTTGGTAGTGTTCTTCCGTGGTTCATCCTGTGTTTACTTTGTGCTGTATTTACCGTTACATTGTCGTAATTAATGATACGTATAACAAAAAATTTTTTAGTTTACAGTGATGTTACACTGTCATATTTATAGAAATTCGTTATAGATCAATATCTTTATTGCACAACTAGATTTTATTTTCCATAAAGAAGAAAGTGAATATAATAAATGGGACCACTATTAAATCTCGTGTTGCATATGCGACCCGTTATTCAATCCTATTGCATCCCATGTTAAAGCTAATATAAATTAATAATTTCAGTAGTATTTGACAAGAATCGATGCATTTGTTATGAACGTGAGACTATGCTACTGTTACAGTTTATATTTTAAGACCGATGTTTCAAATAATTAAAAAAAAGCAGCAGACATCAGACATTACTTCTAATATCTGTTGAGTCACTTATAATAAATGAGTAAGAATATGAACAACCAGAGATAAGCGATTTTAAAGTATATTATAATGATATCATGATTATTTGATTAGTTTGAGTCTCAAACGCCATGGGTCAAAATACATTGGAAATTAAGGTTTAATTTGTAATTAGTAAAAAAATAAAATCTAACCGAATGAAACGTACATAAATAAGATACAAAATACGCAGTTTATTACGTCAAAAACAAATTTTGATTATTGAAAAATGACTATTTAGTTAACTCTACCTTATCAAAATTTTATAACTATTAGAGCAAATAGAGTTATTATTCAAATATTTTCGTAATTATTGCTATTCATGAAATTAACAAAGGTTTTCATTATTTCATCTAAACTTGACGATTGACAAAGCTTTGATGAAAACCCCAGACGACTGACGAAACCCTAATTATTGATGAAAATTAACGAACCAATTTAGTCGATAAAAAACAAGATACAGTCAACTCTACTTTGGCAAGCTTTTCTATAACAATCTCTGGATATGTTAAACCTTAAATTTTTTCAAGAGTAATGCTATTTTTATTAAAAAGTTTCATTGGCTTTATTCGAAACTTAATAATTTTTTATAACTGATAAAATAATCCCTGATAAAACTATTTGAGAACTGGTCTAGCAAAATGTCATTCTGATTCTCTGATTGATTAATAGCGTATTGTCCCTAGTTCTTATACCAAAATTTTCTTCAATTAATAATTTTTGCTGTTTCTTTACAACATTATACAGTCAGATGCACCCTCTATAAGTGCACACCCTCTCTAAATGCACGCTCAGATTCTGGCCCAAATACAGTCAGACCTCTCTAAGTGCACAACCTTGGGACCACACTTTAACGACGTGCATTCAGAGAATAATAAGAAAAAGTGCATTTATAGAGGTCAAGTATATACAGTCAGACCTCTCTAAGTGCACACCCTTGGGACCATACTTTAACGACGTGCATTTAGAGAATACAGTCAGACCTCTCTAAGTGCACCCTCTACCAGTGATGGTAAATGACCTGGTCATTTGCAAATTTTTTAAATGACCTCAAATGACCCCGTAATGACCGGTCATTGTCGGTCATTTCAAATTTAGGTCATTTGGAAATGACTCGTGACCAAATGACCATGGTCATT